TAAAACACAAACAAAACAATATGTATGCTCATAGAAAATTCTTTAGATAAAAAAGATGAATCATACGATCAACCATGAAAAAATCGAGTCAATCGAATCATTTAAATATTTGGGCATAAACGTAGACAGTAAATTTGAAGCGCACTATAAATAAATTATTTCAAAAATATCCAAAAAGATAAATGACTTTTTTAGAATTTCTAAAAAAATTGTGTACAATACTATCATTCTTCCTCATTTGTTATATTATTTGACTATTTTGTTCACTGCAAACGAAACTGTATTATCAAAATTACAAATATTACAAAGTATTTCAGAAAGTATTGTACGAATTTAATAAATTAAGTAATGATATCAAGATGTGTGCCAGTTTGAAAATGTTTGACGAGAAATTGAAAAAGTATTTCATGGAAAACCAGCATTCATAGCAGTGAAATTTTGTATGAAAATATGCAGTCATAATATTTTGTGATATACTGTGTAAGGGGCCGTTCAAGTATTACGTGAGCACTATGGGGGGCGGAGGGTTCTTTGCTTTGCTTATTTTGGATGACATGGGGGGTAGGGGAGTCTACATGCTGATTACGTCATCGGTAGTTATTTACTTTTTTACACGAATGGCAACCCTCACATTGTCTTTGCTTGAAAACGAAACGCGATTTCGGGGATTCTCGCAAATAATGCATACGTTTAGTGAACAGCGCGCGGTAATTCCCCTACTCGCTTTAGAACCGAGTAGGGGAATTACCGCGCGGTGTTCACTTGTCTAAATTTCCTCTATCGGTGTATTTTTTCGTTTGGATACTATAGCGAGTAGACGTATTGTAAGCATAGTAAAGCAAGTTAACATTTGTGTTGCCATTGATTCCAATAGCCAAAGTTTAATGTTTAAATAAGATGTTTCACAAAGACAAATCCAAGTTATACCAAAAATTGTTTGAAAATTTTAAAAAATCTCATACAAGTACGAAAGTACAAAATGTACAAAAGTTGGTTAACGAAGTGTGGCGAAATTACAAATTACAAGCAAAATACGACAAGGAACCAGATATTATTGTAACATATCTAAGAGAATTGCAAGCGGCGACTAAGAATAAATCCAATCTACTAAATTTTTTTTCTAAGGTGAGTGACTAAATCATTTTACAGTATATTCAGATAAGAGATAGACCGGATGTAAACAAAAGGTTCGGGTGATTTTCACGCTAACGCCGCCGTCTCGACGTAAAACAGGAGCCCTCATTGGTCAATTCGCAATTAAATGCCTATGCCGAGCGGCAGAGCAGTCGTATCAAGGCAGAGTCACATTCAGGTTGAGACGTGTTACGTATGTCGTGTGCATCATTGCAATTTGATATTTCTTTGGACGTTTTCGTTTGTTATCTTATTAAGTTGTTGAGTTTGTCGTTGTTATTGTTATACCTTGTTATTGTTTGTTATTGTTATCAACTGCTTGCGCAAAATGCCCAGTAGTACAGATACTGCCGATGAAGTTGTAAACTCCTGTAGTCCATCTAGGAAACGCTCTAAAAAAAGACACCTGAGTGCAGAAATGAAAGAGGTCATTTTGAATATATATAAGATCGAGCGCGAGGAGAACGAGGCATCAACCATCAAAGAAATTGTTGTGAAGGTTTCTCACAAAGTTGGGGTGTGTCGCGCATCAGTGTTTAATGTGTTAAGACAATACAAAAAAAATCACACCTTTTCTGAGCCAATGACCAGTAAACATCGCAAAAGTATTGTTAAATCATTGGATGAAGCTGATAAGCATGCGATTAGGAGGAAAGTGCATGAATTCTTCATTAGGAATGAAATACCTACTATAAATAAAGTACTGCAGGAGGTAAATGGAGATACAAAGTTGCCAAATTTCAAACGATCAACTTTCCATGCGTTACTGAAGCATTTAAATTTCAAATGGAAAAAACGGGGTCGTAATAGTTTACTACTGGATAGAGAAGAAATTGTGCTATGGAGGAGGGATTATTTAACAAAAATTGGAAAATATAGAAATCAAAACAGGAAGATTTATTACCTTGATGAAACGTGGGTAAACGCAGGACACACTACAAGTAAAGTATGGGTTGATGATTCTGTAACTTCATCCAGGAGGGCCTTTCTAGATGGACTGTCCACCGGATTAAAAAATCCAGCAGGTAAATACGAGTAATAGACAACAATCGGATGTTTTTCAAACCTTGGGAACAAGGTTCTAAACATTAATTCCAGGGGGCAGATAAAACATATTACAAGTAACAAAACTTTTATAACTTTCGATAAAATGCGTGGATGTTTTATTGTCATTTTCATTTGTTAGAACTTTTTTAAGCCATGTTTTTATGTGTTTTCGATATTTCAATAATTTTTTAATATAATCTTAAAATATGTCGAATATTATAAACTTAAAAAAAGTTACTAAGTTTTATATTGTGTACCGTTCCTAATATTTCTAATCATTTTAATTCATACTTTAAGCTTTATAAAGTTATAATTTGTTAATATTAATATTTGCGCGTATTTCAGGTTCCTGATCATTCATTTTTTAAAGGTTTATAACTTTAAATTAAATTGTGAAGCGCTGAGTAATCATACGACGTTCAATATTCTTTCTTTCAATATGAATAAATAATCCCAATTATATTTTTGTGATTTGTTGTTGACGGTCTGTGGTGCTTTGAGTCTAAGAAAACTGGAGGAAATGAATGGCGAATCGTTTGAACAGTGGTTTTCAAAAATTTTACCGAACTTAGAGGAAAACGCAGTAATTGTGTTGGATAATGCGCCTTATCATTCTCGAAGAATGGAGAAGGTCCCAACAACGGATTCAAGGAAAGTTGATGTTCAAAATTGGCTCCGCTCGAAAAATATCAACTTTGAAGAAGCAATGCTGAAAGTACAATTATTAAGAATTGTCAAGGATCACAAGGCGGAATATCAAAAATACGCCATTGACGAAATGGCAGCAAGTCAAAATAAAACTGTGCTCCGTTTACCTCCATACCATTGCGAGCTCAATCCCATTGAGCTCATATGGGCAGAGGTTAAAAATTATATAGCTAAGCACAATACAACTTTTAAATTTTGTGACCTCAAAGGACTTTTCAAAGAAGCACTAGAATTAATAACAGCGCAAAAATGGGAAAACTCTATTAAGCACGTGAAAGACAAAGTTGAAAAGAGAATGTGGGAACTGGACAATAACAAGTCGAGCCATTCATTATTGACGTTGGTGCTTCAGGCAGTAGCGATGATGAAAGCTCATCAAGCTCATCTTTCCAATAAAAGATGTCGTTCATCAAATTCGGTAAGTTATATGTAATTATAAAGCTACTGTATTTTTTAATTAATTATTGACATTTTTGAACCCATTTTGGCAAAACCTATTCAAGAATCTACTTTCTGACAATGTTCAACCATGCACATTTTTTTACGTTTTGAACGTTTTAATTTGGTTACATATTTACCTAGAAATCAAAAAATATACTAATCAATATTCTAAAAGCAATTTTAAGAGATATACGATTATTTTTAATTTAGGCTAATTTAAACGCCATTTTGAGATTATATTCGACTGTATTTCACCAAACATCAGGCGACATCCGAAGCTGGAAATCGAAGCGAAAATTTTTAAACCCTTATGTATATTTACATCATTATATATTTCTTACCCCACCCCCACATGATCCTATATCCATCACCAATCGTATACACATCGAATTGTGCTAATTTACTACAAAGTTACGCAAAGCAGCATCTACTATCTAAAATATGTACTGCGTGACTCTTAATACGTCCCTGCCGAATGTTACAGCGTTCGATGATCACGTGGTCTTGTTTATGTCCGGTCTATCTCTTATCTGAATATACTGTAGGTATCTATGAGTACTAGAAATATTAGAAATCGCCAAAAAGTTTCTCTTTACTGATTAGAAAATATTATGGCCTATCTCAAGTATAGAGGTAATATTCATTATATTATAGATTTGTTTCTTATGATTGATTCCGTCAATTGATCACAAAGTACAGGATGTTAGTTTTATACATATATATAGAAAACTAACACCCTGTATTTTGTGACCGGAACGAATTGCTCGTTTAAACATATTAGATTTAAAGCCATAGGGTTTTGTATTTACCATATATATTGCCATACTTTGTATTTATGTAGCTTAATAAGAGAATCTTTAGCAGCAGCCATAGAAAGTTCTTATTTTTAGGCAACCTGTAAACCTTCAGAAAAAACACAAATTATACAGTCAGCTTCAAATATTAAAAAAGAGGAAGAAGATAAAATAAAACCCGGTAATGAATCACCACAGCAATGCGAAATTAATGAAAATACAGATAAACATAGAGCAAAACCTTCTCAGGAAGCTATGAAAAATAAGATTGCTCTACTCGAAAAAAATCTGAATGCTTTGTATTCTGCCAGAGATACTATGCCAAGCCGTGCTGAAGTTGATAAACAGATCATTAAGTTGCGCGAGGAAATAAAAACAGCAAAACAGTCTTTAAACAGGAAGGTTCAAAACGCAGTTGCCCAGAAGAAACAGAGGGATGGTATGAAAAGAAAGTTAGAAGATATTTGTCATGAAAATCCAGATATAAAAAAAACTATCTCTGTGGGATTCAGTGGGACGTCATAATCCTGAAAGCAATCAACATTCACTATTGAAAAAAATCGCCGATATAGCTTTATTTGGGAGTGAAGCAGATGATAGAAGACGAACGGAATCAATTCGCAGCGTAAAAACTCGTGATGAACTCACACAAGAATTTAACATTGATACTGTAGCATTAATGCTAAATAAATCTACAATAAATAAACAAACAGTAATCTAGAAAGTACTTACCTGGTGTTGTTGAAGAATAGCGAAGAGCCAGTGTCAGAGAAAGTGTTGAAGAAGTATTCTAAGCTGACGAAAATGAGTACCAACAGAAAGAGCCCCCTGTAGGGGGTGATATGCCACCATGGCGGCATTCCGCAGCACCTTCACCTTTTTTGCAAATAATGCTGTTGATTCTGTTGATGTTGATGCATTTTCCCCGTCCCCTTCTTCAGCAGACTCTCATTGCATTCCTGAAGAACAAGGAAATTACTTTATACCGTACATATGTCATACGAATGTCACAAAACATTCAAATTTGTAGGCCAAGAGGCAGGAGCGTACCCAGTGGGGGGCAGGGGGTCAAGGGGAAGAGCTCCCCCCTTCTCTATAACTTCGCAAAACTTAAATGGAGAGGACATTTTTTACAAAAATCAAATTACTCATGTACAGGGTTGTCCATAAGCTGAATCAATATCTATTATATGAGAAAAAAAAAACTATGTTAGATATAAACTTAGTTTTGCTAAAAGCACTATGTACGAGCCTCTTCCCACTTCAGTTGGCCCAACTATTGAAATCTTAGTTTTTTTCTTATCAAACACAAATAATAAAAATGTAGTGTTATAGGTTTAAAATATTAACAATGAATATTTTGATAATATATAGTAGAAAACACCAACTTTATCACTCCCTAATCAAATTTGCAGCATAAAAATAACACAATAACACATGTTGCAATTACAGCATATCAACCTATTTACATTTCAATGCAAAATAAGTCTATAACGCATAGATGGCTGTGAAAAATAAAAGTCATGACAATTGTTTTTATTAATCACAGCTGTCAGAATACGTTTAAAATAGTTTTGGGTGGTTAAGGTTTTCAAAATGGGTAGAGGAAAGGTTATTAGTGAGAAAATTCGGTTACTGATAATTAAATTTTTTAATTCTGGGAAATCAAACTCAGAAATTGCAACTTTGTTAGACTTATCGCGGTACAGTGTGAGAAATATTGTTAGAAGATATAACGTAACCGGTTCAGTTAATATTAAGCCACGATATGTGAAAAAAAGTAATATCACAAATGCCGACCGAAGAGCATTAAGAAGAATAATCGTGAAAAACAGGCGTGCCAATTATTTACAATTAAGTGCTCTGTGAAATGACGCTGTTGGAAGGAGAATTTCGAGGTCCACAACTCATTGAGAGGCCCACAAACTGGGATTTAGCACTTGCAAGGTAAGTTTTCTTATAAAAAAAAGTGAAGTAAAAACCCTAAAGTTGCACAACTTGTTTATAGGCCAAAGAAAAGCCACTATTAACTCCACTGCAAAAGAAAAATCAGCTTAGATGGGCATAGATAGAATATAGACAATGGACACCTCAACAATGGTGAGCAATACAATGGAGTGATGAGGCCCGATTCGAAGTTTGTGTAGGTGACAGTCGCAGTAGAGTTATTCGCAAAAAGCATTCCATGTTGACTGTGTGAAGAGAAATTTTAAATTTCCAGCATCCATTATGGTCTGGGGCAGTATGTCATCAAAAGGAGTAGGAAAACTTCATTTTGCTTCATTTTATTGATGGAAAGGTGGATACAAACAAATATTTGGCAATTTTAGAAGAATCGCTTTTACCAGTGATAGAAGAATGTTTGACATCCGGCCAAAATTTTATGTTTCAGCAAGATGGTGCAGCGTGCCATACCTCAAAAAAGGCTATAAAATAGATTTAAGAAAATAATGTACCACTTTTGAAATGTTCAGATCTGTCACCTATTGAAACTTTATGGCACGAGATGAAAAAGGTTCTACGACAACATCCTGCTCGTACAATCACCGAATTGAGACAAAAGCTTCAAGAAATATGGGATTGTTTGACACCAAAGTTTTGCCAAAACTTGGTTAACACTATGCCCCAAAGAATTTCAGCCGTAATAAAAAATAAAGGTGATGTTACCCAATGGTAATCTTTCAATTGTTTCTTTGTTATCTTCGCGCATTTATTCGCACATTGTTTATTTCTTCAGATGTTCTATTAGTTATAGGTCTAAGTGATTTCAAATATGTATTTTTTACGACTAGAGTGTATCTAAAATGTTTTTGAGAAAATAAATTGTTTTAGAAGTAAATAGTTTCGTCATGTTTAGTTTATAAAGGCATATTTTGGTACAAATCATGAAGTGGGGAAACTGAAGTGGGAAGGGGCTCGTACACTACCGTTCAAAAGTATTTGAACACCCAGGAAACAAGGAAACTGATGAAAGTTATTAAAGAAAACGTTACAATATTTGTATGAAACATTTATTTTCTTAATTCTTAACAACATACAACTATTTATAATAAAAATAATCATATTTTTGACTCATCAATATATCCTCCTTTACTTTTAATTACAGCCTGGCAAATGATGGGTAAGCGCGCAGCTAATTTTTTTAAAGTGGGTGAGGTTATTTTCCGCCATTCGTCTTGAAATATTCTCCATAAGTGTTCTTGAGATGTAGGACAATATTTCCGTACTTGTTGTCCAGTTCATCCCACAGCAACTCTAACGGATTCAAATCCGGGGATTGAGGAGGCCATTGCTTGACATCAAAATATTTTGTTCTTCTTTTGCTTCCAAAAATTGTTTGCAGAGCTTGGATGTGTGTTTGGGGTCATTATCATGCTCAAAGACAAACCTCGGATCAATAAGACAAGTCCCAGAAGTCACATGATTTTGTAGTATGGCTTTGTAACCTTCTTTGTTCAGTATTCCCTGTACTCTCACAATATCCCCTAGAGCGGAACCGCCTCAAATCATTATAGAGCCGCCACCGTGCTTGACTGAAGCGACGGTGCATGATTCTAATGCCATCTCGTTAGGTTGATGTTGGACAAATACTCTTCTCTTGGAACCAAAAACTTCAAATTTCGATTCATCGCTCCAGGTAACCTTCTTCCAGTCAGTAACTGTCCAATTTTGATGTTGTTTGGCCCAGTTCAGTCTCTTTTTTTTTGTTAACAGCCCCGAGGAGTGTTTTCGATACTTTTATGCATCCCTGAAGTTCAGCTTCGAGTAACCTTCTCTTAACTGTAGTCACACTTACAGGTTTACTACGGCTCACAGTCAAGTCCGCTGCTATTTCGGGTGCAGTAATGGGTCTATTGCGTTTACTTTTCACTATTATGCTTTTCAGTGGAAGTTGTAACTCCGGGTCTCCCTGCACGACGGCTATTGGATGTTGTGCTTTGAGCCTTAAATTTCTTAATAATGTATTGTACAGATAACAGGAACAAGTTTTTCTCGAATTCTTTGGCCGGATTTATGAAGACCAATAATAACTTCTTTTATCTACTCCGCATATTCTGCAGTTTTACCCATTTTGTTACAGAAAAAATTAAACGAAAACGCACTTGTTGAACAATCTTGAACTATAAGGTGTTGAAGAACGGTTAGTTTATCAAATGAGACAAGATAACTGAGGTAAAACTGTTATGGGTTTACGTCCATACAAATTAAAAGAAATAATCAAAAAACAAATCCTGAGAAAGAAGTCCTATACAAAAACATAGCAATATTTTAAAGGCAAAGAAATTCCTATTATGGCTAATGATGAGATCCCAATAATAGTGTGAGCAAAATTTTGACCATTCAGTGTTGCTTGATTTCCGTGGTGATGGTTTTCAATAAATAAAGAAAAATAAATACGTAATCAATAGTTTTGTTCGCTTGTTATAATTTTAAATGGAAATATGAAGGTGTTCAAATACTTTTGAACGGTAGTGTATGTTACGTGTGTTTCAAATTCGAACCTCGCCTTTGAGATCTCGGAAACGGTAATCACGATCAGTATTTACTGTAGTCCATGCCATCCGTGGATTTATACGTAACATTATGCAAATATGCATCAATTACTGACATCCAGGCTACACGGTCACCCATTTTTGACCATTTTATACTTAAGACTCACCCTGTATGGCTAACTTGTTGCAGCAGTTACGTCGCTAGATAACTTACGGCTTTAACGTTTGGCTATTTCATATGTATTAAGCACACTTCGGCAAAAAATGAACAATTTTTTGCAATAACCATGTAACCGTTGCAACTTATTAGTTCTCATTTTGAAGGTTTTTTCCCAGTTGTTCTGTAGACGTATAAATTTGAAGTTTAAGAAAGAAGTTACGCAGAATTTTTTATTTGGAGATGAGGGACTTTGCATTCACTCTAAACTGTAAATAATTTACTAAGTGACATATAAATCCGAACACCCAGTTTAAATGGTTTTATTTTAATAAAATTTTGTATAAGTACTTAACGAAGCATAATAAGTAAATGATAAAAATTTCAAAATGATTGCACTGCTTTAAAGCCCTTTGACCTCTAATAATGTGTGGATGCACCCTGATGTGCTACGCATTCTCCAACGCGCCTAGGCATGCTTCTGATCAGGTGGTCAATGTCCTCCTGTGGTATCTCATTCCAGGCAACCACCAACTCCTCTCGAAGTGCTTCTAGAGTCTGAGGAGGACGTTGCAAATTGAGCAATCTCCTACCCATCATATCCCATACGTGCTCAATTGGGGATAAGTCGGGAGATCTTGGTGGCCATGGTAACAATGTGACACCATTATGTTGAAAGAAGCCTATTGTGACTCTTGCAACATGTGATCGGGCATTATCTTGTTGGAAAGTTGGATCTGCCAGGGTGTCAAGATATGGTAAAAGATCGGGTTCTAGAACTTCGTGGATATAACGCTGCGCGTTCATGTTACCTCTGATGAAGATTAAAGGTGACCTGGAACCATAAGCTATAGCACCCCAAACCATAACTCCAACAGTGTGATGAACATGTATTTCAACAAAAAACTGTGGATTCCTCCTTTCACCACGTCGCCTTCTAACCCTGGCACGACCATCGTGCATGCCTAAACAAAATCGAGACTCGTCACTAAAGACAATACTGTTCCATTCCTGATCCCAGAGTGACCGTTGTCTGCACCACTCAAGGCGATTACGTCGGTGTTCTCGAGTTAAAGGGAGGACCCAGTGTGGCCGGTATGAAAACAAGCCAAAACTTCTCATTCGTCGGTAAACACTTCGCATGCCAATAGGTCTTCCGTGTTCTGCAAACCATTCATTTGCAATGGACCTGGTAGTGGAGAAACGGTCCCTTAAGGCCAATAATCTTAGTCGGCGATCTTCACGGTCTGTTGTTCTACGGCGGCGTCCAGTGCCCCTTGCTCTTTGCGTACGGCCTTCTCGAAGCCATGCTTGACAACACCTAACCACAGTGTCTACACTTCTTTGCACTCTAACTGCAATTGCCCGAA